AATCCTAGCATAGACATGAGCAACCGGGTAAGAAATTCCTTCCTAAGGAAATGGTGGTAACAAATGGCTGCTGAGAGGAGCAGAGACATATACATATATATATATATATATATATATATATGAATGAGTACATAAAGGGAAGGTGCTAAGAGGGGAGAGGACCTAAATACCATGAATCTATATTGTATAAAACTTGGAAAAATTAAAAGATAATTTCTTGCAGTAAATGTTAAAGTATTTGCAATATATGTAAACTACTCAACTGAAGTTTGTACTTATAAGCATTATGTAAGAGACAAAGACTAGAATGTTGTCATTCAATAGGATAATTTACAATCTAGTTATCATTTCAATGAGAGAAGGAGCTTCTCACTATATAAGAGATGGATCTACCTGCTTTCTTAAATACACCATTGTTAAATTCAAAAACCACAAAAATTAAAAATGAAATGTAGATTCTAATATTGTATATCAATTTTGGATTAAATATTTTAACAACACATTGAATTTTTCAAATTTTACAATTATTACTCATCTAAACCATTCACCTGAGCCACAGTTGGGCTGTACTATCAATTTGAATCTGTTCAGTTGCCTGATGCACTCAGCTGCCTGATGCACTCAGCTGCCATCTTCTGGGCAATTAATTAGTTCTAGAACTCTGAGTAGCCAGGCCGCAGTTGGAGGAGCCCATATACAATAACAAAAAGTATAAGCAAAACAGAGTCCCAAGTACGATTATGGAAAGATGAGACAAGTACATACCATTGCCCAAGGAATGTGATCATGTGCCTACAAATGACCAGAAATCAACTTGAAATACAACATTCAAGGTTAATGAATAGTGATGAAGGTTAAAGATTTTCAGTATCAACATTCTTGTTTCAATCCAGATACAGTCATGTTGGAAATATGACTTGCTTTGTAGGATACTTGGCATGTACTCAGCGTATAATTTGAAGAATTAATTGAAAAAAATACATATGTGATTGATCATCAAGTGGAGTGCATTCATGTCATTGGATAGAGTAAGGAAGAGTGTTGGTGGGATTGTGTCTCTATCTCAGGCTTTCTTCTGAAATTCGAGTGCATAAATCAACTTCTCTTAGACATGACACAGGCACCTCAGGACCAAAAAAAGAACTCAGCACAGCATTCACTTGGCAAATGAGTCCCTGTGTACATACATATCAATTGATTTTGACACCTTCCTATACATCAACCACTTTGTTCAATAACTTCTCCAGGTTTCTGAAGTCCCTTTATAAAGAAGCTTAAGAAGTCACAGCTCTTCTTAGGTTGAAATTGAGTGATCCCAGATCTTTGATTTGTTTTGTTCTGTTTTGTTTAACTCATGCAGTTAATCAAATATATATATATAAACACATATATAATTACACAGTGAGTGTTAATATTTTGTAGACACAAAGTCATAAGTTATTAGCAAACCTCTCATCTTAGGACAGTACAAATAATAAACCAGGAACATGTCTCCTGTCGTTTCGATACTTCCCTGTATGTTTCTCCAAAGGCATCAGTATTCTTGACTTAATATTATGGTGGTACATTCCTGTAATCTGAGAATTTAGGAGCCTGAGGTAGGATAAGCTGGGATGGAAACACAGTCTTGCCTGTAGAATTTATGCTACACAGCCAGACTATGTGCCAAACACACACACACACACACACACACACTTTTGGTTTTGTCTTCCTTTCCATAGAATTCCATGTATAATCTCTGGTACTAAGTACATGATTTAACTTTCTGTTCCTAACATTGATGCTTTTTCTGCTTTAATGCAGAAGATTCTTCTTTTCAACATGAAAGAATGCTTGGAACCATCAGACAGATAAGAATGACAAAATGATAGAAGAGATGATGTGATGGAAAGTGAAAAGGCCTGTAACGATGTACCAAAACAGCCACTTGAATCAAGCCTGAAGGGCAGGATCTCATCATGCAAAGCTCAAAGAATAGTACTTTAGAAATGCACAGGGCCTTGGAGGATGAACTGGGCTAGTGGAAGAAAAGAAAAAGGAACAGGGTTGTGGGAACAGGCAGAATCTTGGTGCCAAGAGATAAAGAAAGACTGTCAGGAAGTTTAAGGTTTATGCTAAGTATGATGAGCGCTAATGTGGCAGTGATCACAACTGGTTGATGTTTTACTGAATATTGTTTAGTGCATATTATGCCTGACACGTCGGAGACAAAAGTCTGTAGGCCATCTTCAGTTCCCCGTCAACCGAAATGATGGCTTTTTATCCTATTCTTACTTGTTCTTATTTGAAATCACCTAATGAGGTTGAAACATGAACTCTTTGAACAATTCTAAGTTCAAAATATCCAAAACGCATACAATCAGCGTATAGTAAGTTTAAACAAAGATATATATAAAGCAATATATTTTTTTTAATATGCTGGCCAAAGATTGTTAATCCTGATATCAACACACTTTCTCCAGATTTGCAGTCAAATACGAAATCTGTTATTTCTTTGGAAGAATTTTGTAAATATAATTAATTAAGATAAACAATTAGATAGGTAGATTATCTGAACATAGATGACCTAATCTAACAAGTCCTTAAAATCTGGTCTACAATCAGAGAAAGAAATCAGAGACACTCATGACATGAACAGAACTTAATGTGAGCGAATCTCTAATGCTGGTCTTGAAGTAAAGGGGGTCACATGACAAGATATGCTCAAATCCTCACCTAACTATGAAAGATTCTGAGCAGAGAGCCTAGCCATGCCATTCCTCGGGTGCTGAGGCACAGGCTTGTGGATGGATGAGCTACTAAAATGATTATCACTCACTACTCAGCAATACAAATATCAATGTGCCAGTGTTATGAGAGGTTCGGAGATCTATACAGCAATTGCTTTCCCACTGAGCTCATTGCCAGGATGGTGCTGAAATCTTTGCGTTTGACTGCACTGAGCAAAGCTCTGTCCCCATTCTACCACAGGAGTGTTCCTAAATTGCATCCATTTTCACACAATCAAGGAGGAATCCTGGTCTACCAAATTACAAATAGGAACACATTAGGTTATTGTCTGTCCCTCCTGATTTCTTGGCAAAATTCCATGACCCCTGAAGGAATTGTGGGCAACGTGTACTGTAAGGACAGGAGAGAACTATGAGCAATTAAAGCTGACCTGAACCTTCCTGCCACCTGCACTTAAGAATGACAGTCCTCAGGGTTTCAAGTGACTGATATAGATGCTTCCTTTAGAGCAGGACATCATGAAAATGTTCAAATTGTTTTCCTAAGGAAAAGTATGTTTTTCCATTTCTTTTATAATTTAGACTGTATATGCACGCTCTTTACTTCTACCAATGATTCCAGTTATAAGTCCAGTTCTGGGTGGCATCCCACCAGGCATTTTCTTGCTGCTTGCTTATGTCGTGTCCCCTAAAGTCTCCTATGTAAAATATTTGTTTCCCGGATGATGGATCCAACCATTGAGAGGTGATTGGATCATGAGGGCTATACATTAATCAGTAGATTTATTTATTAATAATTTATAACTAAATGACATTGGAAGGTGGTGGAAAATGAGAGATCTGTGCTACTTTGAAGAATCAGATCACAAGGCCATGCCTTTGAAGAGGCTGTTTGTTCCTTGGACCATTCCTCTACATCCCTCTGCTTCCAACTACCGGGAGGTAAGCATCTTTCCCCTGCATGGACTTCCTGCATAGTATTTCAACCCTACCTTAGGTTCATGGAAATTTAAGTTTTTTTCCTCAAGTATTTTGTTACCATGAAGAAAAAAATCTAATGCTCAGCACAGCCCAGAAAACTTCAAGCTATTCTTAGGGAAAAACCTGACACATCTGGTTTCTGCTGTAGACACAGTCACATCAAGCACATTTAGGAGGGTTGATTCCAAAGCAGACAGCTTGAACATGTTTGAAACTCTCAGACCATGTTATCTCGTATATATTATTCTTGTTCCTTGCTATACCTCTAAATTAGGTGCTCAATTGTTTTTTAAATGAATACTTGAATGGGATTACTTGGCACGTTGTTTCTCTGGGAGCACAAAGTGCCTCCTCTCTACAAACATTACATTCTATTAATTGATATGGGATGTAAAGACTGGAAGGTACAGTATGTTGACAAGAAATCAGATCCATCACTAGAGAGGAGTGAGACTTTTCAATGGAAAGCAGATGAACTTCAGAAGGAAATGTGACCTCAAACGTAGTAGCCACAAATACTGTATTTTGTCCAATTTGTGTATCCTGGATTCTTTTTTAGATAAACTCTGTGTGTGTGTGTCTTTGTCTGTGTGTGTGTGTGTGTGTGTGTGTGTGTGTGTGTGTGTGTCTGTGTCTGTGTATGTGTGTGTCTGTGTGTGATGAATCTGGGGGAAGGACAAGTAATAGGAAAGAAAAGGGGAAATGGAGAAGTTAAATGGATATGATCAGAATATAAGATATACTTGAAAAACACAGCTTTTGTGAAATCAATGTGAAATGAATATATACTGATAAAGAAGGTCCAGTAAGTTGGCTCTTACAACTAACAGCACTTGCCCCCAAGATGTGTATCAGTCCTGAATTCACTAGACTGAACTCAAATGTTGGAAGGAAATAATCAAGAATAATCAAGTCCCACAAGTTGTCCTCTGACCTCTACAAACATGCCATGGCACACATATACCTCCACAAATACATAGAGAGACAGAGACAGAGACAGACAGAGAGAATAAAAAAAGCATAATAAACATTTAACCTTTAAAAAAATAAAAGGAGGAAAAGGACACCATTAAGGAAATGAGGAAGAAAGAACACTTGGAAGTACAGAAAACAAGAGGCAAACTCTCTTCTAGAGCTTTCAAAGCAGAATGGAGCCTGCCAACATCTTCCCTTTAGGCCATGGAGTCCTATGTTGGATTTCTGACATCCAGGATTATAAAAATATAAATTGCGTGTGTTCAAGAACAGAATTTGTGGTAAATCATTACAGAAAAAATACAAAGTTAATACCCAAATCTTTTCTGCATTTGACATAAAATATTCCACACCAAAAGACGTAAGTATCACTGGACTTTTTTTTTTTTCTGAGCTCTTCATACTTTCCTATCAATGAGTCAGACATGCTGCCTGCTTGGCAGATGGAGGAAGTATGCAAATCTGGGGCTGTGGGCAGTGTAAGCAGCTGGAGAGGCTCAGAGGTTTGTGTTCGAGTGTGAAGCACTGTGGGAGGATACTCATAAGCCTGCAGACAGAAATAAGCTGCTGCGTCTTCAGCACGGACACTGCTGATGGTGAGAGTGAAATCTGTCCCAGACCCACTGCCAGTAAACCGATCAGGAACCCCAGTCTCCCGTGTGGACGCCCAGTACATCAGCAGTTTAGGAGCCTGCCCTGGCTTCTGCTGGTACCAAGACAAGTAGTTCTTCTGGGTTGAGCTATAATAAAGACTCTGGCTGGACGTGCAGCTGAGAGAGACTCTCTCTCCTGCTGACGCAGCCAGGGAGGCTGGAGACTGTGTCATCACGATCTCCCCACAGGCACCTGCAATCAGGAATAGACAATGATCATACATACAAACTGTATAATATAAGCAAGTTTAATTGTCATTTAAATGTCCATATTACAGTATTTTGTTGGTTTATTATCATTAAGAAAGATTATACCCCGGTACAGACCCGTAAGTTTCTTATGTACAAAGATGTGAGTCTGAAGGGGTTGCAATTCTTAAATTCCTCACCAGATATCCACAGCAGCAGGGACATGAGAATCGGAGTCTGTGAAACCATCTTGCTGCCCCTTCCTGTCTGAAGCAGTTTAGTTCTTATTGCAAAGGCTTTGTTTATAAATTCTGAGAAGCTGGGCTGGGCCTGGAGTGGCCTATGCAGAGCAACCAGCAAATGAAGAAACAAATTGCCTGGGCGGTGAGGTGTGAGAGTATCTGATGTAAATTAAGAGCCAAAAGTGCAGCCATAGAAATTGTAAGGAGTAGCAGGAAATGATCAGCTAACAGCTCTCAGTACTAAACTGCCTGATTTTCTGATGGAATGCTTAGTTTAAAATTGAAGGCAATTTGAATCAGGCGAGTTTTGCAGAAACATTAGAGAAGCCATCTCAGCCAAATTTTTATTCTCCCAGCTCCAAAGTCACTCTTACCCTGAGGCCAATCAATAAAAGCACCTTAGGCATTTGAGCTCCAGTTCTGAGATACTTGTAGTTCAGAGAGAGGACAGGAAGCCCAGAAATCATTCTGTGAAAATCCTGAGGGCTGGTCATTTAAACCTAGAGTGAAAGGGGCTTCAATCTCACAATGAAGGTAAATCTGGAGACACCTGGTAAATATCCTGCCACACCGCCTGAAGTAAAGAGGGATCTAAACCTTGGAAACTAGAAGGAGAAAGACAAGCAGGATTTCACCCAGAAGTCATGGCTGCAGACCAACATTGCCAAGAGGTTTTTATAAGAAACGCTTATCTAGAGGGATCTAGAATTCAGCAGCGATACTAAAATTAGGTGAAGATGGTCTTACTGACATGATATACAAGTAAAAACCTCTCTGGAAGGGAGCACCACCATCTAGAGCTCAATAATTATTTTACAAGAAGCAATAGGCCACAACGTGAGATATTGTTGCCATACCAAAAAAATGTTTACTTGACTATGAATGAAAAACAACAGGTATAAGAGAAATCAAGATTCTCCCCAAACTTTGGATTGGCGTATTATGAAAGTATACATGAGAGGTAAATTATAAACCCAATATTATTTGCGAAGCACATAAACATAAAATAAAAATAAAATGCCATAGCGAGGAGTTGGGATGAACACCTGTAATCTCGGAACTGGGAAATTAGAAAATGGAAATCATGAATTTGAGAACAGCAAGTTCTAGGTCACTTCAACAAAAGAAGGAGAGAATATATATGTGTGTGTGTGTGTGTGTGTGTGTGTGTGTGTGTGTGTGTTTGTGTGTGTAAAATCAAGTGGTTAAAAAGCAATTCAAGGTCTTTTATAGCCAAAGGAAATTATCTAAGATTGAAGTTAAAA